CCCCCCCCCCCCCCCCCCCCCCCCCCCCCCCCCCCCCCCCCCCCCCGCCCCCCCCCCCCCCCCCCCCCTCAGCCCCTCAGAGGTGCCACGAACATCCAAAAATTGGAGGCGAGGGGCCACTTTTAAAAGCGTGCTTTAGGAGCAGTTTTGACAATTCTTCTGAAAATTTTATCGGACTTTTTGAGAATTTTGGGAACTTTTCTAGATTTTTTTGGGGAATTTAAAATATTTTGCTAGATTGTTTCCGGATTCTCTGGAGATTTTGAAAATTTTTCTGGAGTTTTTCTGGGATTCTAAAAGTTTTTCTCCCATTTTTCTGGGTTTTTGAGTTCGCTACCTGGCAGCACTTGTTAAAACGTTAAACTGGAAACATTAATACACATTTATATAAAAAACTGCATTTTCTAAAATCTCGCTAGGGGGAGGGGGTTGAGCCCCCCTAGCCCCCCTGACCTCGCCACTGTTTGCATAAGCTATTCAATTAAATATAATGAGTCACCAATGATCTAGCGTTTGTCCAGTAGTATCACACTTGAAACTTGAATTCAGTTGAAAATGGAAAATTTCAACTTGCAACTTTCAACTCATAGCAATATATGTGTGAGTCACGATTCTCCAGAATGCTATTGGTTTGAAAGTTGAAAATTCCAATTTTCAATTGAATTCAAGTTTCAAGTTTGACATATATGCTATCTCTATGCCATTGGTGGGGTACTACCATAGTAGCTATGAACTATACTCATCTTTATGAATAAAATAATTCAACCTAAACAGTAAACTTGCAATTCAATTTATCACATATATCAATTAACATCGACTTGAAAATATCTTTTTCCTAAGAGCACTCAACGTTGATGCATTCTTAGGATTTTATACGTCAACAAATAAGTACCAAAACTTATTCACATATTTATTTTGCTATTGATTTGAGAAATATTCAATATTTTATTTTTATACGGATAAAACACTCAAAAAAACAAAGAAAAGAAAAGAAAAACGATAAACAATATTTCAAGTAGGTTCCTCATTAGGCACTTGTTTTACATTGAGTTCATTAGATTGAACCAGTAGAACGTTTAAAACGAGCAATATAAATTGATGGACGATGTTCAAGTAGCCACATGCCTGCTGGTGATGTTGGATTACGATAAGCGTACATATATGTAACAGCCAGAGCAGCAAGAGAAAGAATAAGGACAGATAATAGAAGTGTTATAACAATTGTTCGAAATGTATGTAGTGTTGAATATGGTCGAGATGATGCAATAGAAGATTCTTTTCTTTTTTCAAATTGAGCAATCGATGGTAATGATGACGATGAAAAATGATAATTATCATACATATCTTCCATACTATTTGGGCAAGTGTCTGCAGCAGCTGAACGATGGCATTGTGCTCGAATCCATTGTTGACGTGAACGATCGTAACCATCCGAACATTTCTGTATATCGTCACACCATGAACAATTATATCGTTTGCCACGATTAGCCAAACATGATGCACAATCGGTAAATGTATTACAAACTATAACAAAATAGATATAATTATTATGTAAAATATTTTCTTTGATTCCTCTTGTTAAATTGAAGAAACAATGAATTATATCAACTAATCAGTCGTATTTATTTCCAGAATATACGTGCATAGACGCAGAATCTATTTGTATGTATTAGGACCATCAATCATATCTGTATTTTCGAAGATAAACAAAAAAAACTATTTGCAACTTCGACAAGAAATGATTCGTTAAAAATTAAAATTCAATTTCGGAACACAAACTTCTGGTATTGATGAGCATGCTTTTCTGTGGGTACTCATAACTGAATAAGATCTATATGATGGAACGTTATCCAACTTAATCACGATTTATCAATTGAGCACATGTCTCATATTCTCATTTGAAATCATAATTAGCATCACTTACTTTGATCCATATCAAAAATAACTGAAACTCCACTGCTAATTTTTTCTTTATCTAAATTAATTTTATCATACAATGTTATAACTCGAACAATATGTTCGTTTGTTGAATGCTGTGACATATATGCATCCGATAAACCAACGCGATGAGCATGATTTGTCGTCAAGATTTTTACTTTTGGTATTTGTAAATAATTAAAATAAATATTTCCTATTGACGAAAAAGAATTAAGTTAAGATAAAATTTCTGATTACACAAACCAGTGTTTTGTAAAATAACTTGAAAAGTAAATGGACCAGCTTCTTGTTGATCTTGCAAATAAATCTTTTGCCATGTACACACAAAATGTGTTCTATTATCATAATATTTTATTTCTGTTTCATTTTTACCAATAGATGCATCGAAATTCGCCATAAATGGTGCAATACTGTAAGCAAAAACAAAAATAAGCAATTAGTACAATCGATCCGAGCTTCAAATAAAGATAAACGTGACTTTCCGAAAGATCAATTTCTACCGTGAGTGCTTTCTACATTCTTGCGAGATCTTCATTCACAGAAATGTCGGAATATAAATGAAATATTTTACTTACTATTGTGTACTACCAATTAATGCTGAATGTAGTAGATCACCCGTGTAAATAAAACCTAGACAGGTAATAAATATTATATTTTCTCAATAGATGAAAGAGAAAAGTTAAATTATTGGAAAGCATCAGTGAATAGAATTAGAGAAATAATGGTTAGCGTCTTTTTAGTTAGATATTAATTGAAGCACTCGAAATAGTTAAACAATATCAACCTTCACCGTCACTTACATCTCTACCGATTCGTTGTTGATCAAGGATAAATCGTATATATATATATACATCGAAAAAGAAAAATATCAAATAATTACCTCCAGTTGCAACTAAAATTTTATTTATAGTGTGACCGTAAAAAGGAAAACCAAATCTCAAGTTGATGCCCTAAAGAAATTCATTTTTCATTCTAGATGATAATAATAATAATAATGAATACTATCATACAAATGCGGATCGATGACGATGGGCAAGTTCATGAATAAGAATAAATTGACTATTTTTATCAACAAAATGTATTGGTATGCCTTCAGATTTCGGAACAATATATGAAACATTATAATATTGATGATCATTCTACAAAGAGAAAAATGTTATAAACACAATTTCTACTAATAAAACATTAGAATTCCAACTATTTTTATGGCTAGAATATATTTTACAGGCCTCGAACACTATCGAATTTCAAGATTTGATTTCGTACTTACAACATAAACAGTTTGTTCACTAGTATTTAATGGATTAGTATTTGTGTTAATAAAGTTTAAATCACTGTCTTCATCAATATAAGCGATTTGTGATGATAATTTGGTTGCATCGGTTGCTAATGTATTGTCAATGCTTGATAAAAATAAACGAGTTTTTATTTCAACTCGATTTGTGCTTTGAGGAATGTCGATATGTTCAGTACTTGAAGCTAAAAAGAGTTATCATAAAGGAATTGTTTCTTATAAAGTTAATTAATTACGTGTGCATGAATAATTTTCAAGAAATGTTTCAGCTTGATTGAGCTTCGAGGGACACCGTTCTTCAATTTCTTTTTTTACATCATTCATAAAATTTATTATATTACTAGAAAAAAATATATTGAAGGTAAGATTGTATTAGATGATGTCGGCAAAGTCTAACTGTCATGCAATCGAAAGAATGATCCGAGGTAGACAACTATTCATCATTTATTTAGGATCATTCTATGGCTAGTTCTATTGAAATGCGATTAGAGCACGATGACTTTACATGCCAAGTGTACTCACTTATATATGGCGACTTTACTTTCTTTTTATCTTTGAAGAAACGACTGTTTACATACTCATATTACATTCTTGAAATAAAAACGTGATTCTGTAAGGAATCTCTATTCATAATATTAACAAATTGCAGTAAATCAATGCGATCAAATATTGAACGAGTAATACTCGACAAAATGTGTTCATCGTCATAGAAAGCGATGTCTATCATATTAGTTAAACAACAGTGAAATATGCAAATGCAAATATGTCATAAACTCAAAGAAAATTTTGAAAAAGAAAAATGTTCAGGACGATAAATGTTTATAGACTGTTTCGCATATCATAATAAATTTCGAAAAATAGGACAAATCAACTGATGATATATTCAATCAAGCATAGAAGGACCTACACCGGAATTTATTATTCTACTCTTGAATTTTCGCTATCTATAGATAGAGCAGTTTAGAACTCACATTTGTTTTTCTAGAAAACATTATTTTATATAGGCATTACATAAACGACTAAGTCAACCAAAATTGATCGAATTTCGAATCGTTTTCTAGATTTTTAAAAAGTTTTGTAGGCTTATAAGAAATTTGTGAAGCTGTGGTTTTTCAATCTATACCAATGTTTCTAGAGCGTAGCTTCTGTCTATTCAAAGAAATTGTTTTTTGGGTTTCTTTTCATAATTTTACTGATCATTGTTTAATCTTGTCCGAAGGCGACGACCTGCCAATATGCCAATAGATTATGAAAATTTTCTGATTCCAACTAACTCCTTTTGGCTCTCATTAATTACGTTTAATTAAGAAGAAAAACTCATAATTGAATATCTTATATTAAGACCTTGGCCATACATAGTTTAAATACTACGCACGTTCGTTTAGTTATTCGTACTAAAGAAAACCTAATCGAAATGTCAGAATTTTAATGAATTCGATGACTTTTTTTATCATTTGAAATTAGCAATTTTACTTATGCAAATCTTCTTGAAAACATACAAATGTTTAACTTTGCCCGATATTCTTCCATCTTCATGCGTGTCTAGTTATTGTAGGTTGCTTAAAATAACTATACTCTTTGGTCAGAGAACAAAAGAAGGTATTAAATAACAAAAGTTTAGAATTTCTACTTTTACCAATAAACGAAAATTCTAACATGATATTCAGTTCGATTAATCCTCTTATTTGCTCGATTATGAAATCTATGTCATATATGTTCTTGTATTTAGTCTAAGCACAAGTAAATTGTCTTTCGAACAAAACTAACTTGCAATAATTGTCATCCATAGTTTGACTTAATTGTGTCGATAACGTTTGAAAAATTGCGACTCGTTTGCCATGCGGACACGGTGGGTTGAAATCATCAGCACGGCAATTATCAAGATCGAGTAAACGGAGTAAATTAACAATCAAGCCTCCAAAACTTTTAACACTTGATGGGCAATGAACTGAGTCAAGACAAGCTGAGACATTCCTAAAAAATAAAGATAACCATCAGATAGAAATTCACTGTTTCATAATTTTATCTTACTCGCATGCTCCCAAAAATAAACACGTCGAAATTTTAGTGTAAATATCAGATCCACATGACATCTGATTTTTTTCAATATCTGAAGGCATCCAAGATGATTGATCACGTTTCAATCTCTTATTGTCTGAAACGATCGTGTAAGATGTTTGATAGTTATGTGATGGATCGTTTATTAGTAAAATATCGTCTTTGATTGCATCGGATTTATTTAATAAATATATTAAATAAATAAATAATTGAATAAAATAGATCATCTTGCTTATCTAGAAATAGTCTTTCAATGTTATAGATACTTGTAGATCTGTATAGGTCTAATCTTTTGTACACATGCACAACGAAGAAAATGATAGGGACAATAGTGTACGTTTTTATTTAATGCAAGAGAGAACGAGAAGAAGAAGACAACAAAGCAATGTGGGGTCACCTGTGTACTTTTTTTCTCACTGATTCAACGAAAGTAAATCGAATGTCTCGTTGATTATGCACGTCACGTTCGTTGTTCGACGTTCGTTCTACGTACGTCTCTTTTTCCTTTTCTTAACGCAAACGATTAATTGATCATTATCATGAGAAAAAGAAAAAAAATACTAATCCCTCAGACTATATTCTCTTTGTTTCATTTTTGTTTTTTTTCTTCTCCTCCTCACTAACAATCGTGTAAACATGTCTTCAAATGGTAATAATAAAGCAATATCCACAGATGATCGTTTAAAACAAGCCTATGAAATATTATCACAACGTAATAATAATCGTGCATTAAGTTTAAAAGATGCTGGTACTGTCATACGTGCCGCTGGCTATAGTCCAACCAATGGCGAACTTAAAAAAGTGATCGATACAAAATTAGGTACAACTTATGCACATCAATTATTTGATTTGAAAACAATTGAAGATTTATGTACTGGTTTAAAGAAACGTTCTGAACGAGAGGTTCATGATAGTTTACGTTGTTTTGATTACGAACGTAACGGCTTTATATCTGCACAAGAATTGAAATATTTTTTAAGTACACGCGGCGAAAAATTAAGCGAAGAAGAAATCGACGAATTGCTACGCGATATGGATATTGATCAACAAGGCATGTTATCTATTGAACAAGCATTATCATTATTTTTTGTTGGTGATTATACAGAATAAAAAAAAATAATTTATTATCTAAAAAAAACAAAAAGGAAAAATACAATCTTTTTTTAACTTCGGAGTCTTTTTTTTTTAAAATGCTGCCAAATCTTTTCGTTTTCTCTTTCTTATTCCATCATCAAGTGTTAATAAAGTAAGAAATGAAAAGAACAAACTAAACGATGATAGGATATGCCATACATCATGTACATCATATGTATTCAATATAATACAAGGACGATTGCGCATACGGGATATAGCTGGTTGAACTTCATAGCTTTTAACTTGTTGATAGAAAAAATATAATGATGATGCCCAAGATAATGTGGCCGATAGAAGAAATAGAATTGAAAATCGTGTAAACACTTCACGATGAATAATTTTCATTAATATATAATACAATAAGTAGATAGCTAGATTGCCAAGAAATACAAATAGCAGATGATTTGGAAATGATTCCGGTTGAATAATTGCACCATAAAGGGCAAATGCTATATTTAAACAATTAGTTGGAATAAGTATCATCATACGATTTAAATAACGTGGACGAGAAAATATACCATTTTCTTTCACAAGCCGGTATAAATGAATCTAAAGAGACAAACAAAAAAGAAGTATATTGACGTTATTTCTTCTAGTCAAGGAGTTCCTGTCAAATCTTCTTTATTGTTTTTTTGCATAGCCCAATCAGGATTTACCATAGCCTCATCATAGGAAAATATGGCAAGACATGATTTACTAAGACAATACTACGCAGAATAACACGAGTCTAATAGAGAACTGCTGTTCGAGTATAAGAGAACTTTTGCTAACCGATTACATGATAATGAGAGCTCCATCCGCTATCGCAAAAGGCAAAGTATCTTGTTACCCTAATGGATCATGCCATTGAAATTAGGGTATTTTGTCGTATATTTGGAATAATACTATTTTTCTTTCTTACATAATTGACGAGAAACTTTGATCGACTTCGATTGGTTGAATAGATCACGTGAGAAAATAGATTCTTTCATATCAACTAATAACTATCAAACTTTATAAAGTATCGATATTGACGAATTGAAAAGTTTTGTATCATTCATTATTTGATGGCATAGTAGTAACTCCAAAGGCCTCATATTACTTACTATGCTTCAATAAATTGAAGCCAGAACTTTAGAATGTATATTTAAATTTTCCTTCAGGAATAACATTGAATAACTAGTAGTTGATCTTATGAAAACTATTTAAATATTGAATCAAGAAACTTGACATTCTGAATTTAGTAGACTTCCAGAGAAATAATCTTCTCTACAATCATTCTTTGGTGATAATTGCTCAAAACCTTAGGTCCATCTACAAAATCAGAACACAACTGGCTAAAACCTCTCAGCAGTAGTGTCACAGACATATAGCAAAACTTACATGTACACGAAAAGTAACTTTTAATCGTCCCATATAATAAATTTTCCCAGTGAATGCTAAACAAGTCAAAATATGAATAGTAGCATATGATATCCAAAACCACTGCCCATCATAATACTACTCAAAACAAAAAGAAATAAATCAGAAAATTGCTTTTCTTTGTTTGTTCAACATACAACTCCTATAACTGTAATGAAAATAATCGCAGCTAAAAATGAAAATGAACCAGCTGAATGTGGATTGATATCTGGATGCCTAGTTTGATAGATTTTAATTATATTCAAAACAGCTATAATAAACATAAAACTTGTATCGAATTGAAAATTTTGTTTTGATGGACAAATATGATAACTGAAGAAAATATAAAACAGTCTATTTCTTTTTATACAAAATTATGTTTTTTTCTTTCTTTACCATGCACTCATAACGCCTTCCATAAACAAACCGATACCCATCGCATAGAATAGACCAAAATGTTGTGGAATACCGAAGTCCTAGAAAAAAAAAACAGCAAACAATTGATTTGTTGATTTTATATTCGTATTTTTACTCTTCCGATAGCTGGATATTTTGAAAGAAATCGAGCATAAGCCATATCTCTATAAAAATGCAAATAAATAATAGAAGCAGTGAAGAAATCGATGCTGTATTACCTTCGATAAACAATAATCAAAAATAATAATCCTAATGCACAATAGCCAATATTCGAAAATACACTATTAAAAGCGGTTAACATAGCAAATTGTCGTATGCATAGAAAATTAAAATAGCATATATCTTCATTTCCTGATTGATCAATCGTAAGTTGATATTGTAAGACAAGTTGAATTACGGGTAATGAATAGAATATTGCTACTGTTAACATCGTTTGAGGATATATACGAAATTTTTGTTTTGAATAATCATAATTCTTCAAACATAGATCACTCACGGTGACAAAACCAACCTGCAAACAATTAAATGAACTATGCTGAAATAATTTATGATAAGAAAGAACTGGAATAAATACGTAGAAAGGATTTAACACGACGAATAAATTTCCTATTAAAAATGGATACCTGCTTGACTTTTTTTTCTACTGAAAACATGTTGAGCATCTTTGGTAGATTTCTTACAGCTAGACGGCATTCACACTGTCTCATGAAAGTCGAGTTCGAATAGCCCATAATGTTCTCTGTCAAATACATTTCATACCCAAACTATTAGCGTAAAACTTTTAAAAGATCAAACACGATGACTTTTAAGTTTTAAAATAACCAGTTTACCTTGGGATAGATTTCTGTTTCTCTATTACTTACAAAATATATGCAAAAGTAGTGACCTCTCATTTTATTTTAGGACTATAAACTCCCTTCCTACTCTAAAACATACATCTGATGCATCAATGACAGCAATAGCACCACCTGACTGTTCAATTCCATTTTCAGCTGTCGATTCGACAATTTCTTCTTCTGCGAATGTTTGATAACCACGTTGACGGCTTTGTCGTTCTGTTTAGTAAAAAAAAATAAAATATTTTTCATGAATTCTCTTCAGATATTCCTACCTGCAATTTCACGCTCAATTATGTCTTCTAATAATGCTAGAAAATGAAAATTCCTATTTGCAAGTAAACATTCATTTTTAAAAATCTTACGTAATTGATCAGGTCCTAATTGATCACTAGAATACACGACAATAAAATCATAACAACAAAAAAATCCACAACAACAAGAACTTACTAAATATCCGGATTTTTACACATAATAGTAAATGCAACGAAATAAATCATAAGAAATAATCCAATCGTTGTAAATATTGCAATATACAGAAAATTATCTAAACAAAAAAATGAATTGAAGATAAGCATATTTTGATTAAATAAACTATCTTCGACATGTCATATATCACAATTCGTATGTGCTAGGCTTAAATCTGTTTTCACGAAAAATCACGTTAATTATTATCTTTGGAAAAAAAACATGGATCAGTAATTTTTAATTTTGTTTAGAAAACATTCTTTTAGGGATCTTTCACTCAAATTGTTTTTAGTCTATATCTTCATTCTTACAATTTGCTGGTGGATGTAATGTTACGATAGCATTCTTTTGTCGTTGAACATCAATAACACCTGCTGGTTGAATAAGCGTTTGTTCTTGATCATTTAAACAATCAGCATCTGTTGGTTGTACGAGAAACACTAATATAAATGTATTCCGTTTTGGAAATTCACTAGCCTAAACGAATGAAATTATTCTTTTGCAAGAAAAAAACGAATTAAATTTTTTTCCTCATTACATAAACATTAAATGAAGCGATCGATGCCATAGTTTGATAATGCCCTTGTCGTGTGCCAATTTCACTGATATCATAAACAGGACAATCGAATGATTGTACGGACACAATCGTACATAATTGATCCGGAGACCGAACGTCAATAAAAACATGTTCAATATCAGGTGGAAAAGTAAATTTGTAGTAGAAAGGCATTGTTGGTGAAACTGAAAATTGTTGACTAACACCGGTTCTAAAATCAAAAAAGAAAATCTTAATCGAATCAGATTTTTTAATTTTTACTCAAGTAAAAATTCAGTTATATTTTCAAGTTGTAATGAATAATCGATTAAATCTACATTTGATGTTGATATTTCAATAAAAACACGACTCATATGAGGATGTGTACGATTAATTTCATTTTGTAAACAAAGAATGCGTGACGCACTTGAGTAGATCATTCTAATAAATAAAATATAAATATTAAAAAGAAAGCAAAATAGCAATTATCATTTTACCCGTTAGAAAATGTATATGGTAATGTCCATGAAATAACACCACGAATTTGTCTGACGACAATTAATAATGGAGATTCTTGTTCAATTTTATATGTCATATTCGTTATTACACGAATAGCCTAGAAGAAAAAAATAATAATCGTAAGCTATCTTGACATTATTAATCAACATAAAAATCATAAAAAGAGACCTTTGAAGGCGAGTAGCTCAATGACAGTTCAAAAAAATAAGTATTCTCTTTATATCAAATGCTATTTTAGCTTGAACATTATTTCGAATAAAAAAAATTATTTCAAACATCATGTCGTGTGATTCAAAGTACATGAAAACCAACACTAACTTGATATTTTTCAATTAATGAATGATATTAAATGTAGCAGCATAGGTAGTTTTCGGTTTTCTCTACGAACAAAGTTTTACACTGATTATTAACGATGAAGTGAATTCAATTTTAAAAATGTTCACACAAAACAATATATTATAGTAAGATACTGAGAATGTACAATTAATTGTTTGTATTGATTTGCTTGAATCTTCTCATTATACACTCGATAAATAACTAAACTCAGATTCGTGTGAAGCTGAAATAATTTCATTAAATATTAAAACTTCACTAAATAAAAGCTTCATTAGCATCCCACAGATAACAGGCTCCTGTATAATCACGAGCATATTATTATCACGAGAAAACAAAATAGCAAGAGAGAGCAGCACTGAAAAGATTTAAGTGTCTTGCATGAAACCATTCATTTATTAATTACTAGCTATTCTATAAAGCATCAAAAGGCAATCCATTCAAGGAATAGTAGATCTATATAAAATCCTTTTACAAGTTATTGTATATCAGTAAAATTTTATCTACAACATCAAAGTTACTTTCTTACCATAGTAGGATCAAAGGAATATTCGATAGAATAAAAATGTACAGAGCTTGAATTAATAGCACCGATACATAATTCTCCAAATGTACAATTTTTTATTTCGATATCTGGATTGTTAATTGATTGAATAGAACTTTCAGATGTCTGATCACCGTATACGAGTATTACTAATGCCTTAAATAAATCAAAATCGTTTTTTAATTAATTAAAACAAAACAAATAATTAAATAAATATTGGCAAAACTTACAAATAGATAGATCAATGGGGAAAACATTGTTACACAATATGTCACATGTATGAACGTAATGTCTGCTTGCTTTCATGCATGCGCACACGATATGCGATGGTCATGTGTATGACTCATTCATAAGCGACATCTGGCGTTCAATAGATTTTAAACAAAACCTAAAACTTTTTAAGGTTAAAATTAATGAAATCTTTCTAAAAAATGACCTATCTTAATATTAGAATATTAATGCAGTATCGATGGTAACGTTTTCGTCAATGGCAGTACCAGATGCCGCTCTGATTTTTATCAATACTACTTAATCATACGAGTCAATAGACTTAATTATGAATTATCTTTATTTAAATAATACATCTCAACAACCCATGACTCATTCATTTGTTTTCAGTAAACGAAATGAGAAAATCGATTGGCGTCGTATTGGTAGGAAAATTTCTTTTTTTGAAAAACTTCAAGGATTTTTTTATTTTTGTCTTTTGTAAATCTAGCTGCAGTGGATGTTGATCGAGTAGCTAGAGATTTAGATTTTAAAGTATTGCAAGATAATATTGAACAAATTACATTATGCAATATTGATATGGAAGTTGTAAGTGAATAATTTGAATATATATATATATATACTAGAAAAGTTCTGCATTAATATTTAATAATGCGTTTCAAGGTGAGGCTGTGAAGGAGAAATGGTTTATTTAAAAAGACTAGAAACAGATATTAGCAAAGTTCTTGAAGCTCAATCATAGAGTTACTAGTTATTGGTATTGTTTTTATTAGTCTCATTAATGCCTTTCGATGTTGTACAGTATTATTCATCGATGAATATTTAAATATTCATTTTAATATAGAGAGAATTAGTACAATTGATAGTCTAGTCGTAGTTAGTTTTTAGTAGACAGTCGGGTATTGTTAAAAGAAAAATCAAATTTGATTCGAATATCTCACAGAGCATACATGCTTTTTTTCTAAATAATATGAGAACTTGGACTTTCGGAAGCCTCATAACAAATACATTTTCAAATAATTTTATTTTTATCCGAACATAGTTTAGTTCTTTGAAGGTGACCATTAGATTTTACAATAGCTATCGTACACGGTCGCTACTTTGTTTAGCTCTGAGAAAAACCTAATAAAAAGAGAAAAAATTTTGTTTTTCAATGAAGTTTTGTTCAGGTTCGAAACATATTCACAAGCAATTTCATACGCATTATTTTTTTAACAATTTATTACCTCTAGGACACACTTGCAACTAATGCATTGTTACATTTTTGTGATGTTTTTAAATGACTACCGTGCTAGCTTCAAACACATTGGTAAACACTAATTTTGAAAAGATCTTGTTGCGTTCTACTAGATGAGAAGCTGTGAACACCAACATAAAAAGAATTTTAGTTCTACAAATCTCATTAGTACCTACGGGATAAAATATTTTTCCAGCTCAAAAGTGCTCGATTATTAAGGACACTTCTCCGCTTAGTTCTCTTCTAAATCAGTGCCCTAGACATGGTTCAATGTCTGCCAAAAGCAGGAAACAATCAATCGTATTATCAGAAATATAATTAATGCAGAACTTTTGCTTCAATCGATATTTAAATTTTGATTTACTTAAGGATACTCGAGCGATGGATCCAAATTTTACAAAACTGTATAAGATGGCTCAATTAATAATTGAATATCTTTTGGTTTGTCTTTGAAGTCTTCTGATTTTCTTTCAATTTTCATATTGTTCTAGCTTTGTCAAGATCAAATAACAAATCAATTATTCGATTATGAACAAACAAAAAGCAAGAGCACTCAAGTAAGCTGTAGAATTTCATTAGATAATTATTCACATAAAACTTTCAAAGGATCAAGATGAGTTTCATCGAGAACTTCAAAAATTAAAAGATGAACTAAATCTAACGAAAAAAGAATCAAAAAAACGTAAGAAAATGATTGAAACACAACAGAAAATGCTGATGGCTCAACATCAAAATCATCATACGGTAATTTATTTTATTTCTTGTTGGTCACTCTAATGAATTTATCTTGTCCGATTGTTAGTGTCCTGTTTGTACGCATTCATTTTTAAGTTTCGATTATTTACAAGCACATATACATCGTCGTCATCCAGAGCATGATCCAGACAGAAGACGTGAACATGATGTGGACACTGAAAAAGAAGTTCAACATCTCAAAGAGGAATTACGTAACAAAGAAACAGAATTACAACTTATTAAGATGCAAAAAGTATGTGACGTATAAATTGATTTTCAGAAAATATGAAAGCATTCGATATTCTGTGGAGTCCGTAGTTGTATATGATTTTTGGAAGACGACTTCAGATAATAGAATAGGCGATGCTTCACTAAATCATTCTGATATAGCGAAAACGACGAAACCTCAACAAGACAAACAAAAGTTTAAACGTATAGGCAAAGACAACATTCTTTTTGTGGTTGCAATTTTCAGGGTATTCTATGAAGAAAAGTGTAAACGGAATCTGTTCAGATTTTTTTTCTCATTTGAGAAAGGTATAAATTTGGACAGAACTTATTCATTCGAATAGTTTCTTCGTTGTTTATTAATTATTTCCCATGCTGAAAAATCCTCATTGTCAATGTTAAATACTTCCAGAGATAAATTTTCCTGTATTATTGAACTCGTTTTGCATTAGAAATATTATTGTTGACTCTTTGATTTATTTAGGCTGTTGATGAAGAAAAAATTCGCGAACGTGATGAAAATATTCGTAAACTGAAAGTAAAATATTTCATTGTGTATTTTGATTTATGAATAACATCGAACTATTTAGGATGAAATGCAAGCAATAATACAAAAGTTGACCATATTAGAAGAGAAATATTTTACATTACGATCGGTAAAATTGACATGAATTTATTTTTATCACTATTTCAATTCTTGTAGTCCAATCAAAATCAAGTACCTTCATCTAATCAACCTGAAACTGGAATTAAAGAATTATTAAAAGAAAATAAAAGTTTACGTACTGAAAATGAGCAATTAGTTCGTATTGTCAATTTTTAATTGAAAAAAATTTTCTTATTTCTATTGTTCTAGAAACAATCACTGCAACAGGCAGAACATAATTTTAAAAAAGAAGAAAAACAAAAACGACGTCTTGAACGTCAAAATCAAAATGTAACTTTAATTTCTCACTCATTGATGATTTTACCTTTGTTTTTAGCTTCAACAACAAATAAATAGTTTAGAAGAAAATCTTCGATCATTAAAAAATGCATCAGGTGATTCAAGTCGATTATCTGAAGAATTAACGCAATATCGAAATGTAAATAACATCAATGTGGAAAAGAAAAATAAGCTTCATTAATACTCTTTTTTAGCGATATAATGAAGAAAAAAATCGACGTAAACAATTAGAGGATCAACTTAATGCAGCAAATAAACAATTAGCTCAACTTCGAAATCAACCGCCACCAGTTAATGATCGTAAATCGCCTGTACCACCACCTCGTTCAAGCATTTCGCCACCTCCGATGCCTACTCCAACTCGACCAACTACACGACCAATTCAAACAACAGACATATTTTTACCACAATTTTGTCCAAGTGTTATTCGAGAAGTTAACGAAAATCCACGGTTCTTGGTTGACTTTAGAAACAATGCGAAACTTCAATTCAACGATGAACTTCAACAACATGAAAATTTGAATATTCATGAAGTAAGAGAATAAAAACTTGAAATATATTAACTATTTATATAACGCTTTCTTTTTTTTTTTATAGAGCGATACTCGTCTTAGTGAGGGTGATTATCCGTCTAAAATGAAAATTGTTGAACAAACACGACGAAACATGCAGAATGTAAGTTAATAAACTAAATGTACCAAGCATTATTTTTTCTCGTTCAGCTGACTTAGAATTTGCAAGTAGATTTAGTATAATTGATCATGTAGTTTGTTGCTTAGCACGTCTTTTCAGTTTTTAATTAATTAGAATAACTATTTTCCTATACCGATAATCAAAACTTATGATAATAGAAGATGCTTTTGCTAGGATTTATTTTGTGTCTCATATTTTATTTAATAAATGAGTGTTTTAAACTTGTCAGAGCCCATCTCTATCACTTGTTTTTCACTTTTATTATCAAAAATGTTAGCTACATTTCTACTTCCAAGTGTTTATTATTTTTCTGTAACAATCTTCCGAGAACTCATGGGTTCAGATTCAGACGCACAATTCGTAGAAGATTGAGTCATAAAAATAAGAAATCAAAACAACATCAGCTCAGATATGGAAAGAATAAATTATATACGCTGAAAATATAATCGGTATCATTACAAAAGAGGTTAGCAAGATCGAGTACATTATTTCGCACATCTCTCTCTGTAAAACTCGTTTGACTGAAACGAATTCTACAAGAAAATTATCTAACTTATCACAATCTGATGAATAACCCTCTTTTTGTGTACTCAAAACACAAAAGTGAGTACACGATAGAATCGGTCAGTGTGTCCGGCCGTTTACACGATAGCTCCTGAAAGGCTGATCCGAATGTCATGAAATTTTGTACACAGAATGATCTCATCAATATCTCAGTCGAGCTCGAAGCTGAGAGGGATCCGTCAAGAAATGGCTGAGTTATCGAAAAAATTGTCATTATTTACCAGACCATCCCTGGAGGGAGAGTGGGGAAGGGGGGGGGGGGGGGGGTTAGGGGTTTTTTCTTCACTACTAAATAAACGAAAGATATTTTATGGTTGTTTTTTTTCTCAGTATTATTCACAACATATATAAATCGATTCAGTTTTTGCAGTACACATAACAATCGGATGCAAATCCGATGTTTATGCATTTATTTTTAGTAAGAGATGAAAATTATACGAGACTTCGTATTAACAATAATTCAATAGTTCTAGTAGTCAACATGATTATCTCAAATAAAATCAGCTTTATCAACGGACATTTCTTGCATTTAGGATTTACCAAATTTCGAACGTATACGTCGTGAGCTCAGTCAAACAGTAGATAAACTTACACATGAACGGCTACATACTCTGCCTGGAAGTGGTACATCGAATCGTTTATCAGGTGGTAAATTAGTAAAATTTGAAGATGAGTCTCCACGACATCAACAACCGAGTTCGATAAAAAAGCCTTCTACTACTATTCCATCAAAACCTAAATATGATTATAATAATTCATCCACGAATTTTCGTTCTGATGATGAAGAAACAGCTACAAGTGAAAGCGATGATTATTATAGTCAACCAACTAGATCTGTAACTAGTGCTGGTATTCAACCATCACCTAGAAAAGCTGTTCCATCATCCGGTATTAGTGCATTGACTGACGTTGGTATGAGACCAGTACCAATCAATAATGCCAAAACTATATCAGCAATTGTTAGGCCAAAGTCAACCTTGGTTAATCAACAATCTGAAAGGTAAAAGAAAAAGAGAAAAAAAAACAACCATAAAATATCTTTCGTTTATTTAGTAGTGAAGATGAAAGTCTAACGATACCAGTTGCACAACCAAAGACACGATTTCCTGATCAGAAGCCAATTGAAATAAATTCAAAAGGACAGAAACCAATAATAAGTACTCGTCCAAAAACAGTTCAACCGACTCATAAAACTCGGGTAAATAGATCAGTTGATAAATATAGATTTCACATTGCGAATTATCCTTTATAATAAGAATGATGACGATGACGATGATAGTGGTTCATCATTCACTTCAGTTAATGAACCAAACCCTCAGCAAAAAATATCCATTACTAATGTCCCACAAAATTCGTATGTCATTTACTTGATGATTTTTTAAAGTATTAAAGTAAATTTTATTTTTATCAGACTTCGACCATTAATAAATACTAATACAAATCAAAATCTATCATCCGGTGATATTTCTCAACATACTTATGATTCGTAAGGAATTTTTCATGCGTTTTGTTTTCACGTTTGTTATTCTATATAAATTATCTTGTCTCTATTATAGACTATGGAAATCACCAGGTGGCAAAGGTTCGTTTTTGTATTTAAGCGTTGGTAAAAGAAAGAATAAAAAGATCTTTTCTTTTTTTTTATCTAGGGCCTGATGTTCGACGACCACTAACAGCTGATTCAGCTAAAACTTCAATTATGGATTCTGACGATGATCTCGATGAAGAGGATTCAAAATAAAATATATATACTTTTTTTTAATGTATTTGTTACCATATGACCTGATCAATATCTGGTTAAAATATTTGGGTAGCTTTAGTAGCGCTTTTTTTATTGATATTTTCAATGTGTGTGCTTAAGATCACCCGTATTTTGCTTTTACAGATCTATCTTTGCTTACTATTTACTAAACAAAAAAATATTGAACTGCAAATAAATGAATCAAAGAAGGATGAACAACTTTGTGAATGAGATTTAATACTAAGAAGGAAAAAAACTGGTGAAAAGATGTTATATAGGAATTCACTACCATGAATATTGAAGTAATTTTATTCAGTCGAATATCGTAAGATTTCTTTACAAGGATAAATAAGTTTTAATATTTGAAAATATGATTTCAAACTGCCAAAATGCTTCACAATCACTATTTCTACTATAATAGAAACATGACGAATTCAATACTTGACGTTACATTATTTTCAGATTTTCATGAAATGATTCATTCCGATAGAGAAATACGATGTGAAACGCAAAATGGTGATCAAAGTTCACCATCATTGGAGATCCTTATGATACTATCAGTAACTGACATCTTGATCATTGACATTGATATCACTCAAAATGACTCTGGAATTAAAGTCAATTTTACCGAAACTCTTCGTGCGTTCGCCTTCTGACTAGTTCAAGTGCTTGTACTCATGAAAACTTCATCTATCCGTGGCAAAATGTTTGAGAAATGAATTGTTGAATCTACTTCTCTTTATCAAAATCTAATTGACTAGTGCAAACAAATACATGAGATGTTACTTTCTCTTAAGTTTCAAAAAGCCAAAGCATAGTAATGTATTGATTGATCATTGAAAGTTTTATTGCAGGAAATTGATAACTGAGGACAACTGTTGATATACTGTTCCTCTATTTACGAATAAATAGGTATTATATGGATTCATGAAATTTACTTTGACTCAAATATTTTTCAGTACTGATTGACTTCATAGAAAAATACATATTCTTTTTTATCTTGAGTTTATTTAGCAGCAAATTCTACTGGACATATGCTTATAACGATATATTTATTGTTAACTAGCAACTATTTATTTTGATTAGTGCTATTATAATTTCGTTTTCTTTTATATTTTTCTACATCATGTCATCGGATCGTTTGTTATCTTTAATACTGCGTTGGTCTGTCTTCGGAACATTTTTCGGTCATGGATGTTTAGCTGTTCGCTTTGTACCAGGATGGTTACCCTATCTTCGTGTAGTTGGCATTGGTAATGAATGGGCTCGGTAAATTTGATGCAGATCTCTGAATTAATTAGTCTAAAATCTTCCATTTTACAGTCGTTTCATGCCAATTATTGGTCTTTTGGATGTTATAATTGGCTTTGTATGTTTATTTATGGATTGCTGTCCTCTAATATATTGCTGGGCATTTGTCTGGGGTTTAAGTACAGCAATGATCCGTCCACTTGCTGGTGAATCCATTTTTGGTCTCATTGAGCGAACAGGAAATTTTTTGCCAGCACTATGTTTGATTTGGCTCTGCACTGGTTCACAATTTGCCTACTATTTATATATTTGCATGGCCATGGCAGCTTCACTTGTCGTATCTGGATTTATCTTCAGAACGATTGGTCTGTTTAATAAATGAAATTAATCGAATTCATTTACCTCATACATATAAAATAACTTGAAAATCTTGCTATTAGTTTATGATCTTTTTCTACGTGACTCTTTGCTTTGATATTCAAGCTCGATGAATATATGCGATTTAAAGGATATTCTTTTAAACAGATACATCTTAATTATTTTATTATACAGTAGTGAGACATAAAAGTTCAAACATGTAAGTAACTCCCAAGTAGTTGACATTTCAAGTTATGTTTTGACTTGAGACAAAAATGGATGAAGCAAAAACCATATTTAAATATCACCGGAAAACCAGCTTGTGTCACCGACAGTTCTAAAAAGATAAAGAGAGAAAAAAAGAACTCTTATATTGCTTCTGAAAGTAGAATTAATTGATATTCTCACTTACCGAAAAGGCCAATTCTTTTCAAAGTCATTCAACCATTCTGAATTTAACCACAATTTCAAATCAGTGTATGGTGGAATTGTTAAATTTAATTCTTTCATTACCATTCTTATTACATCATCGCATCGTGCAAAAATTCTCAGTTTACATAGATCGTCATATGGAGTCTTTTGTAAATCTACGTCATAGGAAAGAGACATGAGTAGCATATAGAGTGAAAATCGTTGCAAAGCCTAATTTAAAGTCACACTTACTGACAATGACCATAGTTTTTTCTCCAGATTTCAAATTCATAGCCGGAAGTGTACATGCAGGCGCAACTCGCATTGATGTTCCCATGCACAAACTTAAATCGCAAATTTCTGATTCCCTAGTTGCTCTATCCAAACAAATGTCAGGCATCGACTGAGTAAATGCAACGGTTGTACAACGTAGACGCCCATTACAATCTGGTGTGCTGCAGAAATATCCCGTTAACCAAGTTTTGTGCTCATAATTCTGAACACGTTCTTGTCTATAATAGACTTTTCCACACTTTGCACAAGCTTCACAATTGGAATTTCCGTGTAATTCACCAATTTTGTTCGTTGGTATTCCACTTTTTAGATGAAGACCGTCACAATTTTGAGAAACTAAAAATTTTAGATAATTTTTTCTCATAAGCTCGACGAACGCCATATGTGTCAATGTTGGTTCTGGATTACGGACGGTCTGTGCTGGTGGAAGAATACCTTTCGCCCGAAATGTCCAAACACCTGTCGGGCCACGGAAGTCGTTAATGCCAGCTGACGTTGATATACCTGTTTGTTTCAAGCCAATATAGTTAATTCCTTTTAACATAATGAACATCACTCACCTGCTCCAGTGTAGACAACGAAATGTTTTGCATTTCGAATCAAATCTGCTAATTTTTTTATTTTCTCATCAAGTTCTTCTGTATACAGGAATGTAAACGATGAATTAGGTTAAAAAAAGGAAAAATTTTCGAAATTTACCTGGATTATCGAAATATTCTTTAATTTCTTCGTCATTGAGTGCTGTATGTGCCATAATCGATAAATTAAATGAATATTATATACTAGAAAAAATGAATTCGACTGATGAATGCTACCGAGATTTCGAATATTTTTCAATATATAAATACATGTAGTACTCGTTATGTTTTACTAAATTGAATGATAGAATCAAGTTCTGTATCTTTTATTAATACGTACGTGTTGCGTATATCAGTCAATTCTAATGAAAACGAATCTTATAGGAAAATAATATTATTTGGAGCGAATCAAAACTTATGAAACTTCCTTTATATAATAGAACAGAGTGGTGACTCATCAAAGTTTCACCATCACTTGAAAATACAGAAATCATTCATAGAGGTATTGAAAAATGATGGAACCTGCTGTGCCACTCTTTTGTCGTCAAGAAATAATTTTGCACTAAACAAATGCAATAGAGTGTCCTTACCTATGCGTGACGTCATCATTACCTCATCATCTATGTGTGAGTGTCTTATTATCTGTGTTAGTATTACCTTCGTATCCATATGATAACGTTGTGAGCCAACACTGCTTAAGTACATTCCTCTCACCATATAAAAGAAATGAGAAGAATGCTTGAGAGTCAGTCTGGTGTATGTGTGCTTCTTCTATACCTCCAAATAAATAGTTCTGTAACGGCTCAAAATCGTTACACCTGCAGCGGCGTACTCAGCGTTGTGTTGATAGTACGTGTGCTGATGGGCATGATTTTTGTGGCGTTACATACAACCGATTGATCTTTTTTACTGAATTTCACACACATTCATACTCATGTTTTTTGGTATCTTTTCGTTTCGAAGCAGTTGTGGTCGAGTTTTGCTTGCATTTAATACTATACGGAATAGCATGAAGTCACTTTTTGAATACTATCTAAACGAGTATGTAAAGAGTTGATACGTCCCATGGAATTCTATGCTGAATCATATAACTCTACTGGCTTGTTGACGTAGCAATATGAATAATATTGCTGAGTCATCAATCATTCATGCGTTACATGGTGAGTCAAACTGCTTTTAGCACTTGCATGCGAGGCTACTTGAGTTGTCACTTCCAAAGAAAAGGAAAAAGGCACAATTTGATTTCTCATAAAATATCAGTAAATTTCAACCTGTGTTTTGAGTGTTGCTACAAAGGATACAACATAGCAGTAATTCAAACTTCCGAGATATCTTTTTTCAATTAGCATAATGTCGAACGATGTCAGTATTAATATAATAAGAAGAAAAACGTCGGAAGACATTTTTTAGCAAGAATGTTTGATTGATATCTGCATCCTCATCCAAGCGAACAGTCAAAAATAATGTTTAACTAGCTAATCATACTATTTTTTCAGATGTTTTTCATAAAAATTTCAAATCTGGACTCAGATATCTGAGACTCGCATGCACTTATCCACCCCTAACCGTATGCTGAATCTTGAGAAAAAGAATTAACTGAATGTTGCTTTATGATTATCTGCTTTATTCATTGAAAAAATCTACAGACTAAGTAAATGTAAATGTAGAAGTTATATTATTCATTCACCTTCTCGAGTATAAATATACAACTAAGATTTTTCTTTTGAGCTGTTTGTAGTATAGTAAAAGTCACCACGTATATCATGTAGCATCTAACTTGACTGTGTCTTCGACGATAAAATCTTCCACAGCCCATTTGATTAGACCTATGTATCTCAGAGTCATGGCACTCTGTTCGGTATCCATTGGCAGTCCAGATATAGTGCCGATAAAAACTGTTTTTGATTCTTTCGAACAAAAGGATTTTTTGAGAACACGAGTTAAGACACTTCCACGGAATGGAATCACTTTTGATTCACATGCTGCAGCACGTATACAATCTTGTAGAGTAGACAAACTGCGATTGATTGAAGAGCAATCCTTAATCTGATCGCTGTTTCCCTTGTGATATAATGAATCTTGTTGGCCTTCATTGCCTGCTAAGTCAACGAACGTGATCGTAGAAATAATGTCACCATCTTGCAAGATATTGTTAGCTCTGCGCACGCGAATATAATAAATAAGATGAGATCGAGATGACTCTGCATTGCGATTAGTCGCTTGTGTTCGTCTAATTGCCATAGCACGCTTGATATACATGTCCAGTTGAGTACTATCATCGCATGCATATTCCTTCGCACCTCTAAGATGTACAGTTCCATGAATATCATCGCGAAAGTTGACAAGTGCGCCCTTATTGTAGAGATCACAAATATCATCTTTTGAAACAATAAATCCTTTTGTACCTGCGACAATTTCGACAGCAGAGATTCCAATGCGTACATCATATTGCGAGTTTTCAATTAGATAAAATAAATCTTGCGCAAATCGCTCGGTAATGCCAATGATAGTGTGTGATTTTCCTGTGCCAGTCTTTCCGTATAAGAAAATCGTAGAATCAAAAGGTGTCATGCCGTTTGAGGGAATTGATTGTGCAACTACTTTTCGAACCACGTCGTAAACATCCTGATTGGTTGAATATTTTCCGAAAACTTTATCTAGATGGAAAGTTGTGTGCTTAATCTCGAATCTATTGAGTCGTAAGTTTCCCGCGTGTACAGTCACTGAATCATCAGTTGTAGTGACGCATTCGTACACGTCGCTTCGCCGAGTTTCTTCTTCGAGAAATGGTCGGACACGAGCACAAATTGTAAATCTATCAGATATATCAGCACAGTTTGGAACCCGAATCAACGGTAAGAAACGTGAGATTGCACGAATAAAAACATCACGATGATTACTTCTGATTGCTGCTTTGCTGAATGCATTTGTGGATGTTGCTGACAAACGTTCTGAATTCGTTTTTACTTTTAAAGTTGGATTTACGTTTCGACAGTTACCATGACACGAATTACGTCTTTGGCTATACATTGACATTGTGTTCTAAACCCAATAAAAACGTGAAAATATTCAAAACAAAACATTTTATGTACTTTACAATCTAATCTTTCACTATTTTACAGAATATAACAAAAGTTTATAGCATAAAAATATTTTCTAAAGGAGTTTTAAGATAAATTGTGAAAAACGTATCCGCCTGTCTTTTTTTCTTTCCTAACTATTCGTGCATTAGATACCAGAAAAAGATGGCTTTAATTTATTGAGGGTTAGTAGTTCGTAGATATTCGCATGTTGTATTGTTTTACAGATTGATCATTCTGCGCAGTCATGAGAGATAATATCAGATCTACCAAAAATTTCTTTTTCATGGAACTTAGATATAATTGAGCAAGTAAATCTCCATCAATCTCTATAGTATGTAACGTTGCTTCAATGAAAGCAATTTATCTTCGTCAACAAAAACATTTCAAAATAGTGAAATGAAATATGTAGAAAAGATTTGAAGCATTGGGCATCCTCAAATAATCAAGAAAAGACCAACATCAGAAATAGGCCGCCAGTCAGTCGTATTTCTAGATACTTAGTGTTACACTTCAAACTCGTTAGCTTCTTGAATACCGCTGTCTTCCGATTGGAGACAAGCATAACGCAATAATTGTCTGTACTCTAAGAGGTTAATTATCTTAATGATAAGAGACATAGAGAACTAAAAAGTACTGTGGCCACATTTTTCCAAATCGAGTGCTAGTCAGAGAAGTCTTATTGTGAAGAAAAGACCATTGAATGTGGTAATAGTGGGCGAAAGAGAATCAAATATTGAAATATAATATGTAATTTCAGTCTGGTACCAAGTGAAAGACTATCAGAGCAAAAGAAATGTTTCTGCAAAGTATTCTTGGTAAATTAAAGTTGAATGTCAGTTTTATATGAATGTTAATTAAAAGGTTCTTCTGGAAAACACATTAAATATCAGAAAAATCGTCTTCCATAAAAAAATCTTCTCTCGCCGATAAAAATTTTTGTAATTTCGTTCACTTAGTTGAGACACAAATGTAAATAACAGATCAGATATTACAGACTGCACCTTTTAAATTGTTTGCCGATCTCCACGTCGTTGCTGTACTACGTACTTGCATGTACTATTAATAAAAATAACTTGTGTCAAGTTTCCATCGAATCATTGGTAAAAAATGACTCACGCAATGTGAGCTATAGTCTTTATTTTTTCATTCGTCTTCTTTCTGATGTTCTGTTCGTTGTTAGGCAAAGATCTCTATTCTACATTAAATATTCTGATAGTCGGCGTAAGAAGGCACGATACATTTCACACTTAAGTTAGTGTCACAACTTCTTCGATTGATTTTTTTTCTACCTAATTTTACTTTCACATGAACTGAGATAGTTGAATGAGAGTACGTGTGTGAAACTCACATACTCATATGTACATCTACATCTTCACATATTTAAAGCATGGATCTTGAGCGATTCTCTATCGTTATTCATTGGTAATATTGAACTTAAGTTTTCTCCATATACGTGCATCTTAGCGGATAAATATCTCGACAAAAACTCATTTTCAATCCTTGATCTTCCTTTTTGAAAAGATTTACCAGTTAATATTCTAAAATTCAAAATAAAACGCTTCAATAAAATGATATGACGGATAAGAAAGCAATCAATAATACTAAAAATATGTTCAAAATACCTTATTTGTAGATGTTTAAAAACTGCAGTATTCGGTCAAGATTGGCAAAGATAGGCTGTGATCGCAGAGTGCACTTCTAATGGCATAGAACACTATATGAACAACTGACGCACGCGATATTTAAAAATCAATTTTTCTGTCTGTCTAGTTTGTATTATATCAGTATAAAGAATCGATGATTCTAAGAACAGTAGTTTCAAAAAAAATATCGTGTAGCATATTGTTACGATTCGTGCTGGAAAGTCTTCTTGTTCAAACAGAAACCAATAGACTATGAAATATACATAACAGTTTATTTAAAATCAAAATTCATTTATTCTATCCTCAAAATTTGTTTTTATTGAGTATAGCAAATTATCAACACTGAAGTACATTATACAAATATATGTTTGAAAAGTTTGAATTGCTTGTTGTAAGTATTACCATGGATAAATTCGCATACGCATGCCATACTTTGGCCTAGAAATAAAAACTTTTTAGAAAATCTAAAGTAGAAAACGAACAATTTAACCTCATGGTGACGAAAATTTCTGGAATAAACTTTTGACCTGGTTCGAGTTCGAAACGAAATTTTCGAATTATCAAAGCTAACATTATTTTTGCTTCTAACATGGCAAAATTTTTTCCGACACATGATCGAGGTCCTGCAGAAAACGGGAAAATAAGCTTTTCTGCTTGATTACCATCGAATCTGGATGGATCAAATTTGAATGGTTCATGCCAGTACTTTTCTGAGCTATTTTTCAAAGATAAAATCACACGGACAAATGCAATAAAAAAACCTTACTGATGAAGCGTGTAGAAATTGAGAAAAATCCCCGTTCCTTTTTTTATATGGATTTGTTTACCGTCACTTGCTACAAGTGTATTGTCTTTAACCGCAGTACGAACTATTGCAGGTACCGGTTGATGTATTCGTAAGGCTTCTTTCAATACGGCTTCAGTATAACTCAACAGTGACAATGTCGACGATGTTATCTCTTCATCATCATTCAGTACTGAGTCTACTTCTGCTTTCAATCGACGGTAGACATCTGGATTGTTGGCCAAATTGTATAAGGTCCATGTCATCAATGTCGATGTTGTCTCATGTCCAGCAGCAACTAAATGACCGAAAGAATGCTTGAATTCATTTTATTCCGCATGAACTTATTTAATAATTTTTACAACAGATCAAATGAAAATGAATTTCAAGTCTGATGCAAAATCGAGTTCGATTAATTATTAAGTGTACGCTAACTGATTAAATCAAATCAACGTTGAGAGCACGAGAGAAGTTTAAAAAAATGCCTGTCGTGAGCATTGAAAGAATTTATATAAATCATTCTTAAAATTGATTTTAATTTGTTTTTCAGCCAAATTATTTGACACAGCGGCAACAAAAAAATACTGGTTTCTCACTACAAATATCCGACATGATATACTCACCAAAGGTTAATGCTTCTTCGTAGACTTCTTCACTGGTGAATTTACTCGCTTTATCTTCACAAGATGCTGCTAAGAGTAAATCAAGTAGATCGGGACCTACCAATAAGTATTGCATGAATAATTGATGATAGAAAAGTGGCGACTAATTCAAACCTTTACAAGCCGACTTAGTTAATCCTTTTTTACGGCCGTCGACGATTTGTCGAATAAGTTGTTGTCCTTCAGAAATACATTTATCAACACGTCGCTTACTTGACAATGGAAGACGATTGATAATTGGAATTATAGCAGTCATGTTAAACAAACGTTTTCCCATCAATTCAAGTGATTCTTTTACAGTGCGATGAACTATCTCGTGCATTTTTTCATCAGACATTATCTCCGTACCGAATACGCAACTTGTAACAATATCTAATGTCAATTTTGCCATCTCTTCATGGACATCTAAAACAAATGGCTTGTTTTGATCAGCAGCAACAGTAGCCATCGATGACCATTTTCCAGTGAGATTTAATGTAATTTGCACCATGAGTGATATCATGGAGTTTAGATTTTGATGTTGAAATACAGGTTCTATCAATCGGCGATGTTGAGCGTGTATCTCATCCTCGGCCATCAACAGATTGTTGTTTCCTAATAGTACTCCAAGAACTAGTCGCATGATATATTCTTTATGATAAGCGCGAGCGTTGGTTTTAAGAACACCATTTATCAAGGCTGGGTCAGATGTATCCAGACGAGCAACAGGACCAAATGAAATATGATAGTAGTCGCCGAATTGTTTCTCCAAAGCTACTAGATGTGCGAACGGATCTTCAGCAATAATACTTTTACGCATGTTGAATATTTCGCCTATTAATGGGATATGACGCCCCGGAATACCTTGAGCCCATAGATCACGATGAATAAGCCATGGATCGATTATCCAAAATTTAAACGGACGATAAAATATGCATATTATGAATACAGCTATGGCAAGAATGAACCACATACTATCTGTAGAGAATATCGTTCTTATTAACTACGAGAAGAAACAAAAAGAGACATGAATACAAGATGCTCGCTCGAATTAAATAGAAAATGAGTTACCGATGAATGTAGCTGATAAAAACGTAAGCTTCACCTTTTGCATTCTTTTATCAGGCGCAAGTATAAGTCTTTAAAGTACGCACGCACGAGGGTAAATATGGGTACACTTCATTCTCTCTATTAATAGTCATTCCTATCTTCTATTTTTATTATTGTCGAAAGTATATTCACTGACTTACGTTTTTTGGAAAACAAACAATAACACTCAGAATGGTACTGCATTATGTACATGTCAGAATATGATTCCAAATTGTATTTCTCAAAAATATTTTGAATTTAGTAAAATAAATGTTAGCGTACATGGAAAAATTGTGATGATAACTATTTTCGAAGATCTTGAACTACTGTGACATAATACTGAAGAGAATTTATCTTGAAAACTCATTCAAAATAGTCGGGGTTATAAACGAACATCTGCCAAATGCTGGTTATAGTTATCAAGCTCGTGTGTTGAGAATGATAAATCAAACTTAACGATGTGATCCTATATTGTAATTGATTTCTATCGACACTTTTGTATTATTCATTATTATTGGAATGTGAAACTGAAGCAGCATCACAGAACACGACAAAAGGTTTTCGATTAGCATAGTCTTTCGTGATGAGTAGATGTAATTTAGATAAATCAATCTTCATCTCAAATAGACTTTGTAAATAAAAAGATTAAAGTTTGAAAGTATATTTATATTTATGAAACAAGTCAATACACATTCTCCTAGACATGTTCAAGAGAACGAAACTCATACACAGTTTGTTTTACGATGCTACAGTTGAATTAGTCCATAGTTGCGATTGTTTAACAGTTGCTTGCATTAAATATTGTGCTTGAGTAATATTATTTGGCATACCAATTATACTAATTATACGATCATTACTTGGTAATGGATCATCAAATTTAATAACACAACCCGATTGTTGTCGAATTTGTGCTATGCGAGTACCACGTGGACCAATTAAACAAGCAGACAATGAATGTGGAATAGTGACTTGAGTAGTTGTTGGCATTGGACCGTTGTTTTGTGGATAATTCATATGATTATTACCGCCTCGATTATTATAATTTCCACCGATTTGCTGTTGGTTTTGTTGATGATTTGGATTAAATCTTGTGCGTGTCGCTTGAAAATCATGATTTTCAATAAAACCTCCTGCATGAAATAATGATTCAAATACATCAAGCGAAAAAAACAGATAAAATCTAAATACCGTAGCGTTCGACATCAACGCCATTGTAAAATGATGGATCATAATTTCGTATTTGCCCACGTATCGGTGTTTGATCTAGTATAGCATAAACTTCTACGAGATGAATAAAGTAGAATTCAATAATGATTTTCATTTCGAAATAAATATATAATAATAGCTTACCTTTTAAACATTCTACAATATTCGGTAATTCACCACGCAATGAAAGGATCCTTTCTGTTGTATCACCTGGAGTCGGATTCGGAAATACTTTTGTATCTAAATTATATTTTTGGCGAAATTCTTTTATACGATCGCCACTTTTCCCCTAGAAAATATTCGTAGGATATTTTATTTAAAAATCATTAGATCATGATTTTAAACATACAATAACAGCGCCCGCTTGCGATGAATGAATCATGGCACGTAATTCAACGAAACCAGGTCGAACTCCTTGATTTTGTGCCATCATAGGTAGTACATCTGCTAATATAGTCATGGCTTTTTCTTCATCTCCAAATAGAATTAAAACACGTTCAGGCGTTTGAAGTTGAGACACATCAATAAGATTATGATATTTGTTTCTCAGTGACTGAAAATTTTCACCATTTCGTCCAAATATCGCATTGGCATCAGATGCAGCAATTAAAAAACGATATTCGATTCGAGATGAAGATAAATTTCGAGTACGTTTATTATCATTGACACCAGATGATAGATCTTCATTCGATCGTTTATTACCCGGATACATTCCCTGGTCCATTGCAGCAAAATCTAAATAAAATGAAAATAAGAATGTCTCATTTTCTATTAGTTTCATATTTGTACCCAATAACAATAAAATGCAAAATATATCTGTCAATTGGATAGATGGCGTCATTTGTCGGAATCAGTCACTATCAATATTGAATTATAGATGATCGTTTTTTTTGCATGGATAACTCGGATAGAGCATAATTAAATCTTGACTTGCTATCTATCATTCGGATTCATTGAAATGTTTAGTTTCAAAAGTTTGACGTTGCACCTCGTTCTATGGAACATCTCTGATTACAACGTTGAAATCTAACAAGATTATTTCTACTCTAATTTTGGCTAGTGAAAGCAGCAATGTTAAAAAGTGGCCATCAATTCTCAGCTATTCATGAAAGTTGAAGTAAAATCTATTCTGAAATAGTTTGTTTATCCTCATATTTGCATGTAGTAATCGTTTCAATAAAAATGAGTGTCAGAGTAAAGAATACTGTGGGTACTGCTTTCTTTTATTGTATCTTTCGGAAAAGTTAAGAAAAAATTGTAATGGTATTCCCGTTCTTCAGTTCTTGGATGTCTCTCTCAAGTACATCAAAAGAACGATGAATAATTTAATAACTTCGAAATTCTACAGATAAAAATAAATAGAACAGAATCAATTATTATATTAGCCGAGAAACAAGATTCTTCCGAGTAGCATCAGTATTATTGTCTTAACTAGTTTCTTTTGACCGGCGGACTCTTTCTACGAATAATTTTTTTAAGATGGCAGAACTAATTTTCATCGGAAGCTGCACGTCGCTGTTAACGTATTTCCTTTCTGTAGAGTTACAATAGCACAAAAAAATAGCTGAATGAATTATATGTTTAAATACACTAATGTCATTTTCGATGATTCACTGAGTTTTAAATTCTCAAGATTGTTGGGGAAAAATAAATTAATACTTTCAAGATTCTTTTTAAAACAGTAAGCATGAGAGTCTGTGTTAGACCTTAAGGTCTCAAACGGTGCTTTACTACTTGATTGAAAAATAAAGCTTTCCAAAATCTACCAGTAAACATCAACTTGTAAAGCGAAAACAACAAATTGATTTCAATCAATTATGTTCAAAGACTTGTTGTTATATAAGATGCAGCACTCGCATCTCAGGCAAAGCACATAGAGTACAAAACAGAAATTAATGGTCGATACATGATCACTTGAATTATGAGGCTTAGGTTTCGGACAATTTCAAATAGACTAATTGAATCGATTTCTTGCAGTAGGACACATAAAACAGGAAACTAGTGCGTCATGCATCATTATGTATTGACGCATAAATCTTTGGCTATAAGAACATAAACTTATTTTAAATCTAAGGTCATCGATGATGAATGACTTTTTAATCTGAGAACAAGTGCACATAATTAAGAAATCACTTAAACTAATTCACTTCTTTTTGATTTTCTGAGTTTGGTATAGAGAAAATATCTTCATACTAGAATAAACCAATGAAAAGTATTCCAAACGATAAGTCCCTTTTTCAGTTCTACGCTATTCATTGCTATGGTTTTTTTTTATCATAAAATGAAATATGTAACCAAAACTGCAACATTGAAATTTCGATTAACAGTCGTTTTCTTGGTTCAAAAACCATTTCCATCTCGATAACAACCAAAACGTTGAACATTTTAAGAAAACCGTCGGCATATTTTGATAATCATATGTCTTGCTGATAGAAAAAATGTTACGCTTGTTTTTAAGAAATTCATTCCATTTATTCATTTTACTACAATAACAAAAACGAATAATAAGCATATCGCTTATTGCTATTTGCTCTTTGGCAACAATATTAGATCGTTTACTACAAAAAAGCTCGCGTTTAATGTTTCCATAAATAATTAATTCTATAATGAAAGCTCAAGAAAAATGTTCTGACTGTTTTTAGAAAACTTTTCTCGGTAAAAACCCTAGTGAGACTAGCCTTAAGGGAATGAAAATGTTTTCAATGAACCTGAAAAATAAGCTTGCAAGGAAAGAAGCGCCTCAAGAAAAAAGTCTCTTGCGGTTCAGTAAAAGCACATCTCAAACGATTTACATTGAAACCGCCGAGCGAAAAACTACCGAAAGAAAAAAAGACCGAATGATGAAAAATATAAAATATATATTTTATTTCATTGCAAAAAAAACTTTCATTTGATAAGGACAAGTAATTATAACAAAAAAGGAATCATTCGAGACGTCCATATGTACGTGATTAATATAAAGTTTATGTTGTTTTTAAGATACCATTAGTAAAACTTGAACTTCTTGGTCGACGTTTAACACCTGTACTAATTTGCACACATAAATATTGAAATCGGCTTTCTTCGCTAACAATGCATCTGATGAATGGGTTCAGTATAGGTACTAAACGTCGACGAACTTTAAGTTTTACGAATGGTGTTTTTTAAAAAGGATCGATACTCTTATGGCACGTTGCAGCACAAACGACGTCGACATCCAGCAATTATTGAATAACTTATCATTTGATCAGCGCGAAAACAACATAAACTTTATATTAATCACGTACATATGGACGTCTCGAATAATTCCTCTTTTTATAATTATTTGTCCTTATCAAATGGACGTTTTCTTTGCAATGAAATAAAACCTATATTTTATATTTTTCATCATTCGATCTTTTTTCTTTCGACGTTTTCAATACATACCTCTCAAACACTTTAAAGATTTCATGCTCCGATAAATTCAACATTCATCGTTAAATTAGTTTCTTGCTTTTCAATCTTCTTTTGAGTGTAGTTTTTCTTTTAATTTCTGTCTTTGCAAATACAAATAGTTTATGTAGACATTAAATGCCATATGTTTTTTAATTGCTCAATAGATCTTTTGTTGTGATATAACTTTTGTATTGCAAACGAGTCACGACAAAACATTTTCGAGTGTTATATGAAGCGTAGAAATACGTCTATCATTTCAGTGAACATGATATTTAGTTCATGTAATTCTAACATACATTTTAAAACTTCAAAGCTGATTAAAGTTTGAATATTTCCGATTGGAATTAATTTTTCATAAGTATCGTCAAAATAGTAAAGACATCGATGAAATTTCATTCCACATAGATATTCGATGGCAACGACGATAAATAGAAAAATCTGTTTTATTGCACATAAGTAAATTTTTGATTCAACATCTTGCATAAAAGAAATTGCTTTTTAGCATAAGTTTAATTGAAATATCATTGAAAATTCGTTCTACGTTTTTTTACAAGTCACAGTATAATTATGAAAATGATTGCTTCAAAGAATATTTACACATTTTATTTTCGAGAATGAAAAATTGAAAGAAAATTATTTTCAATGTAAATGCTTAATTTTCAATTGATCGCAATAATGTAACAGGATATGGTCGATTGCCTTATTTTTTTATATTCAAGTATTCATAATCAACAAAAGAAAATATACTCTCTTGATTGACGTAAGCAAGTCAGCCCAAATAAACAGATGCCATTATAATAAAAAGATATTTACGTAGTTAGCTATGCTGTTCACCATATTAGAAACGTGCCTTTATTTTGAGACCATACCAGAAATTACTTCTTAAACATTTTCTTTTCTTTCCTTGTGTAATTAATTTCTTTGGCATCTGTTGCCCATGGAAACGAAAGGTGCTGTTTTTCCTTTTGCTATAAAAGTTTTACCTATCAGTTCTTTTTCTTTTCTTGTGAATGTGTTTTCCTTAAAAACAAAAAACTACTCATGTCAGAAAAAAATAGCATTTGTTTTGAAACACAAAATCCACCTGTTATATTAGCAGTTAAAGATCTTCAACTTAAAAAATCTCATAATAATAGGAAGAAAAATCCAATACGATTACAAAAATCGAAACCACCCAAAAATTCAGTGAAAATCAAACCAACAATTATAAATATTCATTATAAATGGGCATTAATTCTTACTATTTTCTGTTTTTTTATTATCGGGCCGGTTTGGGCACTTTATAAGACTTCTGAACTACGTCGACTGATAAAACGACAAGAACTAGACGCCGCTGAACGTTTATCAGTTAAAATGTCAACTGTACTTGTCTTATCAACTATTATTGGTGCTGTGGCATGGGCTGGTCTTCTATTTTGCTCAGTCGGTCTTTTATTAACTGGAATATTACTCGAGAAACAATATATATAGCATAAGCTGTTGTGAAAAGAACATATATTCAAAGTTCAACATTCAATCTTTGTTTTACCATAATAAAATGTTCAATATATTTTATCTAATAAATAAGAAAGTTTCCATAAAAGATAGACACATTTATATCTCTAATAAACTAAAAAAAGAATCGGCTGATCTTACATAAACCTAAGTCCAAAATAAGATTATCTATTGTTAAACAATGTTATATTTATTATCAACAGACTCAAAGTTAGGTTATACTAATTAAATTGATAAAGATAATTTTTGGAAAAAATATTCAATTTCATAGAAAAAGTCTTAGCCTATTTTTAGTGACTCTATTACCCTTTTTTTTGTTTCCTCTCATATTCGAACTTATTTTCTTTGACACATTGAATTCTTTCTTTTTCTCGACAACATTTGAGACAATCAGAAATCAATTTTATCACCTGCATACAATTACTCGATTGAATTCACACATTTGTTTTTCACAGGTTCACCTTCAAATATTATTTACAAGTCATTTGGCGAATTGTATCTTAAATAACTAGACCAAAGTGCGTCATTAATAATGACGCACTCGGAAGCTCCATAGATTTGATTAGTAGATATTATAAAATAGAAGAATTGCCAGTGGAAAAAAAGAGAAAGACATTTTCTGATTTCGACCTCTACAATATTGACATCAAGGTGATAAGATAAATTTAGTGAAAGCGTATCATCATTTGAAAGGTAATGAAAAAATAATAACGCAAAAAGCAAAATAAAGATACAAAAATTTACTGAGATGTTAATGAACTGAAAATCAAAGGAAATAGACAAATGGATTGAATGTGCGCTACAAGGACAAATTGCTAAGTCACATTAGGATTTTCCAATCCCACTCTATATTTATTCTTATGGCGTAATCTACTTCGGTATTGAATACGAATATAATATTTAATTATAATCATTATTTTTTCTATTGAATATGTTCTATATGCGTTTATCAAAATAAAAGTGCAGTGAATACTCTTCTCTTGTATTTAAAGTCGATCTTATTATGCTTATCGGATTTTCTTAAGAATTTTTGTTACATAAAATATCGTTTTTCATGATTTTGTTGAAGGTTAAAGATCAAATTCAAAGTGAATATGATTAATACGAATACAAAGAAATCTGAAAAAGAAAAATAGTATTTCTATTATAATGTTTTAGCAAAGAACAATTGAGCAAGAAAGACATAGTTTATGATCCGAATGAATACAATGGCATGTAATTTATTCGGATAGAGAAACAAAGTTATTTCAATATGAAACAATCAACGGTAGACATCCATTTTCTCGGATAATTCATTATCTATTGTATTTGCAACATTCGTAATTTACTCTAATTCTTGATAAGGAAGTTGATAAAATCCAATTCTCTTCAATCGAAAAGAAAAATGAGGTGGGCGAATTTTTCTCATATGTTCATCCATTTAAAAATATAGAAGAATTTATGAAGACTGCAAGTCTTTTTACTATCTATTCTTCTTAAAGATAACTATATCCAGAGAGAGAAATATTGAAAAAGGAAAACAAATGAAATTTAAGATATAATTAACAGCATAATTTCCAACAGCAGAAAAAAAGAGTAGCGATGATTCAATTCACTAAGTATAAACAACATTTATTCTCTGATTAGTTTTTGTTCTTCTCTCTGATTATTATTTCTCCTCGGGGAGTAACAGCATGCATGTAGTTAACACTAGGATTCAAGAACAATTCTCTATGAATCATTCCTAATTTGAATTCCATCCATTCAAATGATCTTGCTGTCATCATTTACATGTCGCGCATTATACACTGACTTGATGTCATCATTGTTTCGGATCGTTTCAACATGTGAATCAATTTTCTTTTTCTATATTTATGTCATATTGATATTTCTTTTCTTCTCTCTTCGTCTTCGGAAAAACCAATCAATCAATTATTCCATTTCTATGCGTCTCATCATTTATTTTCTCTTTTCTTTATAATCTCGCTTCGTTAAGAACTATGAATGATTTATAAAGACAATTGCTTAGATCTGAATAATATTCGGCTATGTTTTAAGTATTTTTTGATTATTTTGATACTCACTCAAGGTAATACTAATCTATCCCTCTTTTCTTCTTCTTCTTCTTCTTCTTCTTCTTCTGCTTCTTCTTGGACTTTGCTCAGCATTGAAGAAAAGAGATGAATTCCTCAGGGATACAACAACTATATCTGAGTGATTCGTGCGGTTTTTCTAGCATGATAGCAAATCTATTTTTTTCTCTTCATTTGACTATTTACTTCCTCGTATCATTTAGATGCTTAAAAATTTATAGGATTTAAAAAAAATATTGTAACTAATCTTAATGACATAATATGCACACTCTATATTTTATTCACATGAATTTCAGCTATATCTTGGTTAATCATATTTGCGTAGGCGAAGAGAAAGAGAACAATATTTCTTTCTTCCGAGCATTGCCTGTCTCTCTCTCTCTCTCTCTCTCTCTCGTTTTTCTCTTTGCCTCTGTTTTATAGTTAAAATCTACTTGTCGTCAAACTATTATTTATATTCTATTCGTATGAGTATGTATGCTTGTCAAACACTGCAGTAGAGTCATTTCTCTAAGACATAAATGTTAATTAGGGGATTTCCCGATTGATATGAAGTTCTTCAATTAAAGTCACTTATCTTTACTCATAATAATCATATCAAGTAATTATAGTGTTGATGTTTATTATTATTTATTATTAGTTAGTTACTAAGTAGTATTTCCTTTTAACATTCAATCACAAAATTTATCACGCTCTTAGGAGGGAATAAGTAGATATCGACAAGTTTAGAGCAGACATGAACACGCTTCATGCAGATAAGAATATTTGCTTCTCGCTCTTATTCACTATTTGCTCTGTTTGCCATTCAATTGAATAGACGACTGAAACAGATCTATGAATAGAAGAGAAAAAGAAAGCCTAAAAAAGGCTTGCAATTAACGTCAATCGAAAAGTGCATATTGATCCAGAAGCATATACCCGCCCCCCGTTGCCCGTTGCCTGTTGATAATATTCGTATAGCAATTAAAAACAAAATGCGATAAATCTATATGAATAATAGATAATACCGTCTACGTATCAATTTTCAAGGTAACTATAAGTTTTTTCTTTGTTGTAATTTTAGTTTTTTCTAAATAAACTTTTCTTGTATCTTTTTTTTACATTTAACCAATAATAAATATTCAACTCTGAATATTTCTATTAAGTCTAAAGACTTGCAATCTAAGATAATAGTTTGCATGCTAAGAACAATAAAAGATAGTGATTAAAATTGTTCACGATGTCTTATTTTCTCAAATCATTTGTACTGAGAACAACATTGTCAAGAGACAAAATTTTTCTTTTCAATTGACATATGTTAAACTCGTATACATGACACGTTTCGCATTCTTTTCCTTTTTAGAACATCTGACAAATTGTTTATTCCTCTTCTACATCTTTTTTCATCATGTTTTTCGACATACTAGCCGTGTTTGTTGTTTCACTTATTTCATCATTGTTTATATGTTCCACATCTGTGAACGGCCTCCCATTATCATCAGCAAAACTTCATTACATCCATAATTCTCCATCTGCTGATTTGTCTAGTTCACTCAGGCTCTTAAAGCATCGATCAGTGCCGAGTGTTGATTATGATTCAAATCGTGATGATTTTGAAATGTTCTTTGGCGACAGTAACGAAAACGACGATTCATCATTATCTTATATTGATCGATTCAATGAGCCATTGGAATCGTATCCTCAATCATCATCATCGCCATCATTGGAGTTTTTACCTAGAAAATTGTTATTATTACAAAAACAAAAACGATCATCACAATTATCACCGAAAACACACTTCAATTTTAATAGAGCTTCTAACGATTTGGCTGGTGCATCTCATACAGATAACGCTGCTGTTGCAAGTGAATTAAACGATTCGATACGTTTATCGGCTTCACTCAAAAACTTGATTCAAACAAATCCGTTTGCACGTGCTTGGCTTACATTGCTTCTGCAAAAACTTACGCAAGAACAACCGATGCCATCTATTTTCAAGTATGGTCGACGTCGCAAATAAATGTCAAACAGGCAACTAAAAACAAAATATCGCTAACACAAAATCAAACGACGAAATTTAAACCAGGAATGCCATTTTCCCACTATGACAGCACACTAAAATAAATTTGTAACATCACCATTATCATCATTACAGCCGAAAGTTGTGTCTGAATGTGTCGAAGACCCAAAAATAAAATTCATTTCCCGAAAAAAAAAAGACTTTTCATTAATATAATCATGATAGCATATAAGCAAAAAGAAAAGGATCGAAACAATTCATTGAAACCGTTTAAGAAAATTATAGTGATGAAATTAAAACGGCTGGATGGTTGATTTGTTTTAAGTGCATTAAAAATAACTTTCTTTTTCTGTCATTAAAAAACATATTCTCTATTGTCTACATATCTATAGGATGTTATTATGCCAGTGTTATATCAATGAAAGTTAAAAAGTGTTCCGTATTAGATCGACTTGACTATTCATGGCTTGTTTAGATATTCAGCACTTAGAACTAGTAATCCTAGAAAATGTCATCAATATATATTACATGATGTCTTAATGATGTCAAATTTTTCGCAATGGGTCATAACAGTTTAATTATTTATTCGTTTGTGACTTTATCAATATTTTAAAAGCCAATAATAACATTAATAAATGAGCTAGTGTTTATATATCCTATTTGAACTTAATAGACGCTCTAGATTCGGTTCTATTCTTATAGATTAACAAATTATAGGAAACATTGTATTTCAATATGGATCTTGTTAAAATTTAATTTGCTATAGTTCTTTCACCTTTCTCTTTTCATATATATGAACCAGTATAGTATTACTCGGGTAATATGGAGTGATTCCTTAAAATAGAAAAGAGACAAAAATATATGTCATTTTCTAAATATATATATATATGCATAGGATTAAATTCGTATGTACCTCGCCTTCAAATAGCTCTTCATCTTTTCCATTTGTTATGAGCATAGATTTTAATGCAATAAACAAAATGCCTATGGAAATCCCGGATGTACGTCTGAAGAATAAATTCCTGATTTTTATCATGAATATTAAGTAAGCGATTGAGGCGCTTTCAATACATCATGGTACTATTAAGATAAGTAGTCTTTATTTTTAGTCGGAGCATTCCGACACGAAGAAAAATATCTATCTCTATTTTTCGATGTCCAATAAATGGCTCACGATCGCATCCAAAGATTTAGTGAGAAGAACATGTTTGGATCGCTAAAATTATTTACGCTTGACATACATTACAATCCTATTGTTCAGATCCACAAGAAAACAAAAACACATATTTTAATGTCGAGACGAGTCGAATTAAATGCCGGCGATAGCGAATTATCTGTGATCGACTGTGTTTACAACGTTGTCCGAACGCATTGATTTGATTGAGATAGACGATATTTTTGAAAATTTTTTATAAACTGTCATGGAAACCAGTAACATTAACATAAAAAACAAATTCTATTTTTAAAGTAACGCCATCTATAAGCATTGCTGCAAATTCTGTAGATTGTTGACGGGCAAAATTTTTTTATCTGATTGTGAAAGAGAGATTCTCGTTTTTTTATTCAATATAAATTCTAAGGTCCGCAAACAATCTCAAACGTTATTTTTATACAATATTTCGTTTTTCTGTAGAAAATCTATAACCTATCATAAAGTGAACAAAAAAGCTTAAGTAGCGTTTACTTTTCCCAGTTACGTTTTTACGCATCACGAGTTACCTATCTAATATTTTAAGAATCTAGCGGAATTCCATATTAGAGGAGAGGACATTCTCTGCCTTGATAAATTTTTGTCAATGAAATGAATTTTTTTTCAAGCTAAAATGAGTCTACGTGTGTATTTGCCGTTCACGCTTAATAAGTAAAAGATTTGTGCTAAAATAAAATGAAAAGGCATGGATTTAATGTAATATCTAAAAATATAGTAATCCATATCTAAAATATATCAATATTGCCGAACTTAATACAGTAGTATCTATTCTGGCGACAGGGTGCTTTTAAAAAAATTGTTTAGCCTAATTTTGTAATTCAACATCCTTTAATTCAATATGTTATCACTTTTAACAAATGACTATCAATGAATTTATCGACTTGTATAATTAATTTGAACCTAATCTATAATTGATAAGTACTTTAAAATTAATTGAAAGAGTATATATGACCTGGGAATAACGATAAGTAATAAGAAAAAAGTTAGTTTAAAAAATGTCTTGGGTGAGAGTATAGGTATAAAGAGAAATAAGAACACCCATACCCACACCCACACTCCGCACTCTCAAGACATTTTTCGATTACTTTAATAATTAATTGTATATTAATTTGTGTTGTTAAGTAGTGTTATTTAATAAATTAGATGTGAATAAATTTTCAAATTAGATATAGATTGCTATATTTTTAGGTATTGGGTTATATTTACTCCAAATAAAAATGTGTCATCTGCCAGATGATGTCATGCTCTTACAATTTTCAAAACATGTTTTTGTTCTCAGAACCAGCCGTCTGGAAAATAAATGTAGAATTAAAAACCGTTTAGAATAAAATTGAATTCTATATATACTTCATTTCTTGTAAAATTAGTAAATGAGTTGCCTAAGTAGATGGCGAAAAACTTAAAAGCTAAATGAACAGAAAAAAGTAACGAAACATCTAATAACTTGCACACTTTTGTTAACTTATTGTTAGTCACGGTCTTGTTTCAATTAGGTTTTGAAGGCGAAAATTGACTTTACAGTACAAAGCACATTTAAAAACTTGATTGAGTCACTTTTTATATTTAAGCGTAAATATCTTCGAGAGAAAACATGAAATTCTAGAAAGCACTTACAATTACTTCTGCTCGAAAAAAACGATTTTATCCATGACAGTTGTTGCATATGATTCAATACTGATAATTTTGAGGGAAAGTCTTTTTTTTATATTCTTGCCTATAAGTTAGATATAAGGAAGATAAATAATAAATTGAAAAAAGAAAATTACGTCATTATAAGCGAGTTCTAGTTGTATGCTTTATCAGTCAATGAAAAGAAAAAAGAGCTAGTTTTCTTTTTGTATTGTAAATTTGATTCATTATTTGTATATGAGTATATAATCATTACAAGGATTCTAGTGGGTGGGTATTATCATTGACTCATTAAATTGTGTCAGATATTTACCAGTTTCGATCGTCCTTTTAATGAAGCATGTACAGTGTACAATCCTAATTTCCTTGGTTATGAAAACGTTTTGCAAACAAAATTAATAATGTATACTCATCGCATCGGAAATAGACTTCGTACTGTAAAAGGAAATGTCTCTTATTTTCCTTTTTGCATGATTTCTATGGATGAATAATAAATTTATGCGGAAGAAAATTTTTTGACTAATAACGAGTCATGTGATGATATGATGTGCTGCGTTGTTTGGCAATGAATAGTGACGACAATGACAGCACAAAAAGAATCGATGCAATTTACTTCGACATTGAAAACACGAAATGTAAATAATAACAGACTTTTTTCGGAGCACGTTTTTTGAATAATGCGTTGTTTGTCGTTCTGTACTTTGACGTCATGTTTTTTCCACTCCTACTGTTTTTTCTTCTTCTTTCGTTCTGTTTGCTAAGGTAAATTATAGACCGAATCAGTGCTTATAAAAATAGGTGTATCACCCTTCAGAGAATCAGTAAATCATTTGTTAGCAGTTACTCCATTGATATTAGTCTTGCCACTTCAATATGAACAGTATTACTGAAAATCGACAAAAGTCTCGTTCACCACGATCACAACCAATTGATCGACATTTATCTGAAATTGGTGAAACGGATGGAACCGTTTATATTAATGCTGGTATTGATTCGACTTGGTTCGTAATTTTTTGTTGGTAGGAAATCATATTTTTATTCTGTTTCTATTAGTTCTAAAAAACGTAGTCGAACAATACACAAATTAATAGATGGCATTGTAGTTTTCACGACACAAACAGATGATTCAAATTTTGATCACGACAAGTCAACGTCTTTATTATTAAATAACAGGACATATGAAGATCAAACGGATGTGACCAATATCAGCTGTTGTATTCATTGTGGCAAAGAAAATAAAACCATAAAAGACATTTAACTCTCTGATTTTGCGTATAATTACAAACAAAACTGTTGTTTTCTATTGTATAGCGACTTTTTTCTGTGTTTCTTTAGTATTCTTAGCTTGATAATGAAATTTTACGTAAATTACTACGATCAATCATTTCAATAGTTTTTGACGATATACAAACTTGTGTTAATAACCAATGTTTTAATATGATTAGTTAACATCAGAATGATTCACCTCTAACACGATTTATTATAAAATAAACAGTATGTAGAGAAAAATGACTTGACAATATTAAATCTGTGAAGAAACAGACATGAACAGTGAATGTTAGATCAAAATTTAGAAGTAGTTGATGACTAGAATACTTTTTGTTGCAATATACTGAATCACTTAATATTCGTTCAGTATCAACAAAGTAAAATGAACAAATTTCACTCGGATAGATCGAATCTTGTGGCAACATCACGTTACTCCATGCTTCAGTCTTTTAATAGCGAAAAAAAAGCTAGCCAATTCATAATTCATATCTTGATCAATGGTTATAGTTATGATATTAGCCGATGAAGGATGAGAGGGGATCAAAAAAATTTTGGTTAAATCATATAGTCGCATTTTTGAATATCAATCGCGAAAATAAATTTATTAAAAACTATACTAAAATATAAATAAAACTCTTTGTAAAAACGAGCAAATTCCAAATAAAAAGAACAATCTAATGCTGGAAAACTAATGTATTTCATTTGGTGTTAATTTTAAAAAAGTTCTAATAATACTATCAATTAGAGGTGTCACATTTAAATTTAAAAAAATTTACTAAATCGAAAAAAACACTTTAAAAACTAGTAGATAAACATAGTTTTTGACTTGATTGCTATTATTTCAAGCCAAGTTTGAGTATGTTTCTTGTTTTCTAAAGTTCAAGCTAGTCATTCTTCTACAAGTTGTGCTATTAAATATATTTTTATGAGTATCCCAGTGTCTTGAAGAAGAAAGATGACGGACTCTGCATAATCTGTAGAGAAATTTTGATTATTATTTAGTAGTTAATTACTACTGTTAAAGTTACGTATTTTCCTCATAGCAATGGTGAGTATCGATCCGAACAATCTATTAAATTTAAATTTAAATGATTTAGTAGCCAAAAAATTAAATTTAACTTGATAGAATTAAATTTAAATTAAATAAACTGTAAATTGACAGCCCTACTATCAATTCAAACTTTCTTCTAATACAACTGTGGCAAGTGCTGGTATTGCCAATCGAAAAAATATCCATTCGCTATGCATATGCACAACATCAATCTTTTCGTTCTGAAATAGTCCTGAGCCACCATATGAGAGATTGTCGGAATTAAAGATTTCGACTGTTTTGCCAATACGTCGGACATTAGGGTCCCATGTTGGTAAAGATATATCATAAGATTTATATCCTCGATTGGAAAAATTGTGAATGATTGCTATACGCCGATTGTTGTAGATGCCACGGTGATAAGCTACAATAAGATTTCTTCCGCATTCATATATCATCGTAAAGTCTTGTTCGCCATGTTGCCAAAATTGTGGATAACTTCGATAAAAATAATTGAGATCAGAAATATATTGTTGAGTTTTACTATGAAACGATTGCTTTTCCGCCAACGACCAATCCACACTAGACATACCTTGTCGAAATCTTTGAAACCATGATATAGGTTGAACAATTTCATCTCCCATATGAATCATGTGACCACGACTGGGAGCAAATGCTTGCCAAGCAAAAAAATTTCTCAAGTCAGAAAACTTTTCCGACTCGTTTCGACCATTTGAAACGCAAGCGAATAGAGTTTTATGATGATCGCGATTATGGCAATCGGTATCGTCGTGACTCAACGTAAGAATCATTTTGTCATTATTTTCTCGGGCCGAATTTAACATGTTCAAAACTTTTTCGTGCCAATGGCGTGGTCTTTCATTGTTGGGCGTACGTAAAAGATTCATTGCATCATTAATCCAACCTATGTTCCATTTCATATCAAAATCCATAGTTCTGATTAAATTCGGATAACCTTCAGTCTCTTCAGCAATACATAATACACCAGGATAAACTCTATGAATCGTTTGATTGAGCTCACGCAAGAATGAAATCGCTGCTGGTATATCTTGTGATTGACGTCGAATCATCTGACTAACAGCATCATAACGAATTCCATCCATATGCATTTCATCGATCCAATATAGAGCACTGCCAAATAGAAGCCGACGAGTTTCTTCCTTATTATAATCAAAATAGAGTGTGCCCCATAATGAATTATCACTAGCATACATATTTGTTCCATCGAGTTCGTGTAACGAACTCGAATACCAAGGTGAGTTGTGACGATGATAGAAATGTGTTGGAACCCAATCGATAATCACGCCAATATCATGCTGATGTAAATAATCCACTAAATATCTCAAATCATCACATTGACCATGATCATGATAGGGGGCAAAGTAATTAGATACGATATAACCACGTTCCCAGTTGTATGGATGTTCCAATAGACCGAACATTTCAACATGAGTAAAACCCATCGTAACACAGTAGGTAGTCAATTCAGACGCAATTCGACGAAAATTAATTGGTTGATGGAAACCATTTCTCCACGATTTTAGTTGAAGTTCATAGATGGATAATGGTGCGCACAACGGATTGCTAAGTGCACGTTTCGTCAACCAAGTTTCATCACCCCATTTATAAGTTGTTTGATCATGTACAACCGATTGAATTTGATCGACTTCCGAAATGTGAATAACGGAAAAACTGACTGGATCAATTCGTAGCATATATTTACCGTTACAATCATCAATAAGATAAAGATATGTACGACCTGGTGGTGCTTGATGTGTAGTAGCTTCCCAAAGACCCGCATCCATTTTTTGCATTATAATTTGAAATTCTTCCCGGCCGAATGCTGTTAAAATAACCCAAACATTTTTTGCCCTTGGTGCATATACACGAAAAGTAGTTTGTCGATCATCTTTACAATACTGTGCGCCACGTATCTTGTAAAGTTTTGTATCTAATGCATCATTATTATCTCGTGATGCCATCGTATTGATATTGATTTATTGAGATAGAATTATAATAAAAAAATAAAATGATGACATTTTTATGAATGCAAAAGTTGTATACTTTCATAGGAAAATACCCACTACTCGAGAGCTTTGTCGTCAAATTATGTCACTATTAGTTTGAGTCAATAGTGCTTGCTCAAGAAAAGGTATGCATGTGAAATGTTTTCTTTCTATCTATGAATCATTTCATGTTTATATGCGATTGAAATTAGACAAAACAAAACTTTTTATTTAACGGTTTCGTCTGTCTCAGTTTTGACGCTACTGATTTCTTTGTTCACTTCTCTTCAAAATAAATGAATAATTCATTACCACGTGCAGATGTTACGGTACCGTAACGAAATAATTCTACATTGACTCAAAAGTTTTCGTCGTGCAATAGAACAAAAAATAGCCTATCAGAGTGTATCGTCATCAAATACCGACTCGAAACTAGTTCATAAATCACTAATTAAAAAAAATGAAGTCATATACATATTACAAAAGAATAATGTCATTCACGTTCATTTTTATGTGTTATACTTTTGTTAGCTGTACAATGATTACCATCGAATTTTTATTTTTATTTTGCCTTGCTAAACTAGATTGTAATCTTAGTAAGAAAAAAAAGGCAGAGCGAAGAATCTTCCATTTTTTGATAAAAGTGAAACAATTCGGCGCTTAATAATTTACTGGCCTCGGATTGCAAGTTTTTGAAAATGTAGGAATTAGCACAGGATGAAACTTTTTAAAAATACAGGAAAAGGTGTAAAAATCAGAAAAAAATAGGATATTGAAAATCCGTTGTTTAGATTCGAATAAAACGTTGTTTTAAACTTTTCCTGCATCAATTTAACATATGCACGAAATTTTTGTCAATCTTTTCATTTTAATTCTTTCTTAAATTAAATTAAATGAGTCAGACAGAGTGTGGGTAATGGTTTGTATGGTGTTTATACTCACATAGACCTACACTCACACCGCGAGTATGAAAATTTTCAAAAATCGCATTTTGAGTTTTTTAACCAAGAAATGTTTTCAAAAAATATCAATGACAGATCGTTAGTTGTAGAATTCCAGTCTCTACAAGTTGGCCTATTTTGTTTTGACTTTCGTAGCTAAGGACAATGTAAACTCTTATACACTTTCTATAACTCAATTTACCGTTTATGAGCTGCCATACAGATGTATCAATTTCCTTTTTGTGTATAACGATTAGTTACAAAGAAAATACTATTACTAATAAAAATCAAATAACTCTGATCATGTTAAGTGCTTCAAAATTGGTGAAGAAAAACTGTACCTCAGCGTTACTAAAAATGTCACGCTGTTTCCTTGCACTTTTTATCTAAGCAAAAATAGCTTGGAGAAAACGATTTTAGTGTTTTAAAGCCTGGTCGAAAAGCATTACAAAACTAACTCGAGAAGTGTTTCATTTGGAAAAATAGTTGCAGAAGAAACTGCAGCTTATTAGTGGCCCTGGAGAAAAGGGTCTTTTTATGTCACAGCCACGCAACCAAAACTCCTCTCTATAACCAAGAGACTTAATCCAAAAATGGTCATTTTATGGCATAAACATATCATGACAAGTTGCATCAAATCACGTTCGAACAAACTTTCTAACTCACACCATTTCCAAGATAATGAAAAACAAAGTGTGTCAAACAAGGTCACAGCGTTACGCTTGAACAAAACCATTTACGTAACTGCATATGATAAGCAACAATAAAAGCTTTTAAAAAGTACACAACTATTTATAAAGACTATTTTCATTTAGTCCGTTTTTCAGCGATTTTCTACTTTTTTTCATTTTTATAGGAAATACAGGAAAATTCATCGAAATATAGGAGAAAAAATAGGAATTTTTTTAAATATAGGAAATATAGGACGAATCCGAGGCCAGTTAATAATAGAAAATTGAATATCGTAAACGAAACTGACACGTTCATGACTTCAATCAGAATCAATCTAAATGTTCACTATGATCATTTTCTCATCGGTCATTCAGAGTTAATTAACAAGAGAAAAAAAATGAAATCTAAGGCTTCTTTCTTTCTTTTTTGATGCATTGCAAATTGATGATAATACTTTGATTAATGACTTTTATTATGTTGATGGCCCATTTATTACTTCTGGATGATTAGATAAAGTCAATCAATACATTGAACTTTTAAATTAACCTCCGTAAATTCATTCATCTTGCATTACAGGATTTTACCATATCTGGCAGGTTAATATCAGCTCATAGAAATCTAAGTTGTTCTGTCAATTTTATTGTTATTGAATCAATATTTGAAGAAAACATATAGTAGTGTAGCAATCAAACATTTATTTTGATTGTAAGTATGAATTCAGAAGTTCAGTCACTTTTCAACCATTTGTACACGCTGATACGAGAAGCATAGCCATAGAAAATTTCTCTGCAGAAAATTCCCAGCGTTAAGTTTCAAAGTTACACACTGAAAAAAAAGAATTTTGTCTAACGAAAAATATCTCAATGCAACTAAATGTTTATTGAATATTCGAAAGAATAAAAATTTTAAAAAACTTCATCTATAATAATTAGTAAAATGAATTTTCAAAATAACAACATTTCATTTATCGGTACATTATCTTTATGCACATTTTGTCGACATTGCCATTTTCGCTATTTCGACTTATTCCTTTGTTAAATATGTATGGTCATTAGTGATTTTCTCATGATGTTGTATCTTAGCTACATTAATTGAGTATACTTATTCGATTGGCTTCCAATGGTGATGATTATTTTCTGCAATGCGTACAATTAACTTTAATATTGATTGTAATTCATTTTTCAGCTGATGACAGTCATTATGGCGACTGTATGAATGAGTGTATTCGTATTCATAAGAGTATGCGGAAAATGTTCTTGTACGTTGATGGCCCACAATAATTTACATTTCAATCTTTTTCTAGAAAAAAAGGTTTCAGGCTGTTTTTAATACCATTAATCATATGGCGTATACAGTTCGACAGTTGATGTCTTTATATAAAATGATAGTTGTATTTGGAACCATTTTATCATTCTGAATTGAATCACAAGATTCATTCAATTTTAAAGAGTTAGATTTATGACCCGGAGATGTTTTTCGACATTGATTTCTACGTGAAACTTCTTTCCTTAGACAAAGGACTGCGTGATAAACTTTAAGTATGAGCAAATCTCGATCTTTTCTCAGAGACAGTTTATTCAACAATTGCTATAAAGTATTCATTTAAAAAGATCTTCTATCATTTTATTTTAGACTCACGCTAACAAATTGAGCCAACACAAAATTATGAATCTTAAACAAGAACCTATCCTGATGTCAATAGTCTCGAATTCAAAGTACTTTAATAAACTCATGAACGTACAGTGCAACTTATCTACTGAATCGATGTATATGCGTCCCATTATTTTCGTACGTTTTGTTTGTATTCAACTGAAAAGGAGGGAAGTAACCAAAATATAAAAAGGGTTATTCACAATTGAGATACAGTTATTTCTACGAACTAAAACGAAGAATTAATAGAACGCATCTCGTATATTAGACGAGACTCGATAAAAGGACCAGCTATGTTAGACTGAATTCGTCACATGTTGTCATATTGAGTTCACTTAGATTACTATCTCGTTATTAGTATGCCTGAGTGTCAATAAATTTGAGTAATGTTATTCTGTAATATCGGCTATCTTGAAATAGAACAAGCGCAAGATAACTGTTTTTTTAACGAATAAAAAGCGATGTAAGAATCTGCCTATTTTCATGTACGAAAGTGACAGCCTTGGATACTAAGTTAATGTAAGCACTAACTTCTATAGAAAGATGTGTCTTCAAATTTCTAATTATTGATGTTCTCACCAGAGATCAACACCAGATGAATATATGCAGAAAATCGGTTCATAATATGCCCATTTAGTAACTGATAAAGAAAACGAATTCAGTATTTTGGTGAATAGTTGTATCATTTTAATCGTAGTTGAAAGAGTTACTGCATGAAGTGACGCAAGTAAGAAACCTTTTTACATAGGAGATTTTATTTTAAGAAGTACTATGAATGAGAAGATAATTTCTTCTCTTGGTTTAGAATATTTTACCAGCTTCGCAAAAACAACTATCAGCAGATAAATACACGAAATCTAGACGTAGAGTAACTCATTAGATTTTCCTCTTCACAGAGCAGTCTTTTTATTTTACAAGTGTGTTCGTGATGGGACGTCAGTAAGCTACGAAGCGTTGTAATTACTATAGAGATCCAATGATTATGTTTACTTTCTGGATAAAGTCGAATACTTTTCTCTACTGTTCTTGTTGAATCAGTTTGTTTTTTGAAAACATACAATGCAATATTTTCAATCAAGTGATAACGGAGGCTTCTCTTAGTTGTGCAATAAAGTATTTGACTGAGAAGAATTTCGAATCGAAAAGAATTAAATACTTTTTGGAAAGTTATTAAATTTCTCGTATATACAGTTGACGATTTTTATCTTTTTCTGAATCATGCTATAAAAATATATATTGACCATTGGAATCTGAGTGAAAATGCAAAAGCAATTGGTCAAACAAAAACATCATTTTTTAGTCAATGGGTAACAGATTTAATCATCCCAACATATCATATGAAGAACTCTTTAATAAAGTAAGTAAACAAATGCACCCGGAATTCAAAACTTTATTAGAGACAATGAATCAATCTTTTTCATAGCAGAAAATTTCATCGAAAATCATTTTCAGTAATCAACTGACTTTCGGCATCATCCGAGTGCATGACTGATTCTTATGAAAAATGGATTCATATTTTGAAGTAGTTTCGATAATCATGTATGACAATGGGACACTTCTAGTTCGCTTCATTTTCTAAGTTTGATACGAACAAGCGACAACTATCTAATTCAGTCTAACGCAATAGTTCGATTATCAAAGCGTCTAACCCTTCATGAAATATTCATAAACACTCATTTGAGTCCGTTTCATAGTCTTACATAGCATTTGTTT